AAATGTGGTTTTATGGTTTTACATTTTCAAATGTTTGGTGATTGCTTCTTATTCTGTTGTCACTGCATTTGGTCAGAGAACATGACCAGTGTGATAGAGATTCCTTGGTATTTGTTGAGATTTGGTTTTGTGGGCTGGTAAGGTGTTCATTGTTTGTTAGTAAACATTCCATATATGCTTCAAAATAGTGAATTCTTTAATTTGGGGTACAGGCTTTTTATATGTCTTTAGAATGATGCTTGTTAATTGGGTTCTTCAATTTTTCATAACCTGATTAATTGTAAGACTATCAAATCTATCACATATGAAAGACATATGTTACCATAGTTCTACAACAATAGTTGATGACTCCAATACCCTGTTCTCAATAATGGATAGGACAACCACACAGAAGGTAAGTGAGGAAATAAGGGATTTAAGCAACACAATAAACCAGCTAGATCTAACACACATACAAACATTCTACCAACAACAACAGCAGCATACACATCTTTCTCAAATAAGCATGAGTCACTTTCCAGGATATATCATCTGTTAGGCCACAAGTTAAGTCTCAAGTGATTTTCAAGTGCAGGTATCATACAAACTCTTCTCCAACCACAAGAAGATGAAGTTAGAAATTAATAACAGAGGTAAAACTGTAAAATCTGCAAATTTCTGGAAGTTAAACAACACACTCTTAAACAACTAATAGGCCCTAGAAAAAAATCACAAGGGAAATAAGAAAGTACTTAGAATGAAAATGAAAATGCAGCAGACCAGCACATACGGGATGCCACAAAAGCAATGCCACAGGGGAAATTCATAAATGCTTACATTAAAAAACTGGAAAGATCTCAAACTAGCAGCTTAAGTTTACAACTTAAGGAGCTAGAAAAATAAAAATAAACTAAATCCAAAGCTAGCGGAAGAAAAGAAATACTGAAGATTACAGAAGAGATAAATGAAATAAAGAATTGAAAAACTATAGAGAAAAATCAATAAAACCAAAAGTTAGTTATTTAAAAGATCAACACAATTAACAAATCTTTCACTAGATGGTCTACGTAAATAGAGAGAAAACTCCAGTTACTAAATCAGAAATGAAAGTGGACACATTACTACAAACTCTATAGAAATAAAAATAATTTACAAGAGAGTACTATGAACAATTGCATGCCAACAAATTGGATAACATGTATGAAATGAACAAATTCCTAGAAAAAATAAAATCTGAGAAACAAGTAAATCAGGAATAAGTAGAAAGTCTTAACAGAATTTTAAGTAATGTGGGGATTGAATCAGTAATCAAAAATCTGACAAAGAAAAGCCCTGGACTTGATGACTTCACTGGCAAATTCTCCCAAATATTTGATGAAGAATACCAACTCTTTTCAAACTCTTCAGAAACACTGAAGGCAAAGGACTACTTTCTAACTCATTCTATAAGGCCAGCATTATCCTGATAGCAAAGCCAGACAAAGACATTATAAGAAAAGAAAACTGGGCTGAGTGTGGTGAATCGTACCAGTAATCCCAGTATCTTGGGAGGCTGAGGCAGGAGGATCACTTGGAACCAGGAGTTCAAGAATAGCCTGGGTGACACAGTGAGACCCCGTTTCTACAAAAAATAAAATAGGCTGGTGTGGTGGTGCATGCCTGTAGCCCTAGCTACTTGGGAGGCTAAGGTGAGAAGATCCTTTAAGCCCAGAAGTTCCAGGCTGCAAAGAGCCATGATCGTACCACTGCATTCCAGCCTGGGCAACACAGGAAGACCCTGTCCCTAAAACACAAAAAATTTTTTTAACAAAAACTACAGACTAGGGCCAGGCACAGTGGCCCATGCCTGCAACCCCAGCACTGTGGGAGGCCAAGGTAGAAGCTCAGGAGTTCAAGACCAGCCTGGGAAACACAGGGAAACCCCATCTCTACACAAAAATACAAAAAGTAGCTGGGGATGGTAGCATGTGCCTGTAGTCCCAGTTACTCTGGAAGCTGAGGTAGGAGAATGGCTTGAGTCAGGAGGTATAGGTTGCGGTGAGCCAAGGTTGTGTCACTGTGCTTCAGCCTGGGCAACAGAGCAAGACCCTGTCTCAAGCAAAACAAAACAACTAAAGAACTAATATCCCTGATGAATATAGATGCGAAAATCCTTAGGCTGGGCGTGGTGGCTCACGCCAGCACTTTGGGAGGCCGAGGCAGGTGGATCACGAGGTCAAGAGATCGAAACCATCCTGGTCAACATGGTGAAACCCCGTCTCTACTAAAACTACAAAACATTAGCTGGGCATGGTGGTGCGTGCCTGTAATCCCAGCTACTAAGGAGGCTGAGGCAGGAGAATTGCTTGAACCCAGGAGGCGGAGGTTGCGGTGAGCCGAGATCGCGCCATTGCACTCCAGCCTGGGTAACAAGAGCGAAACTCCGTCTCCAAAAAAAAAAAAAAAAAAGAAAATCCTCAACAAAATACTAGCAAACCTAATTCAGCATCATATTAAAAGGATTATACACAATGACCAAGTGTGACTTATTCTTGGAGTACTAAGATGTTTCAACATATGAAAATGGATCAGTGCAATACACAACATTACCAGAAGAAGGGGGAAATCCCTCACATAACCATCTGAATTGATGCAGAGGAGGCATTTGACAAAATTCAACACATTTCATGATTAAAAAAAAAAAACCACTTACCAAATTAGGAATAAAAGGAAACTGCCTCCACATTACATCATAAAAGAATATAAGAAAAACCCACAAGGAAGGGTGTCTGTTTCCCCACTGCTATTCAGCATAGTACTAAAAGTGCTAGACAGGGCAATTAGGCATGAAAAAGAAATGAAATAATAAATGAATTCAGCCAAGTAGTAATATACAAAGTCAATACATTGTTCATGCTAACAATAAACAGTCTGAAAAGGAAATTATGAAAACAATTCTACCTAAGGTAGCAGCAAAAAAAAAAAAAAAATTAGGCATTAGCTTAATCGAGGAGGTGAGACTTCTATACCGACAACTACAAAAAATTGCTGTAAGAAATTAAAGAAGACATAAATAAATGGAAACACATCCAATGTTTTTGCATTGGAAGATGTCAATAGTACTCAAAGTGATCTACAGATTTAATTCAATCCTGTCAAAACCACAAAGCCTTTTATTTTTTCAGAAATGGAAAAACCCATCCTAAAACTTACACGGAATTTGAAGGAATCCCAAATAGCAAAAACAATCTTGAAAGAAAAAAAGAAAGTTAGAGGACTCACACTTCCTGATTTTAAAACTTACTTCAAAGCTACAGTATTCAATAATTTAGTAATCTGGTAAACTCAGTATAAAGCTACAGTAGTCAAGAATACAGTAATCTACAGTCTGTCCTTATGCCAGTATGGTACCCTTGACCTACATATCTATCTTTATGCCAGTACCACATTGGCATAGAGACAGACACATTGGTCAATGAAATAGAATGCAGAGCTCAGAAATAAACCTTCATATATATGGTCAAATGATCTTTGACAAGGTGCCGATACTGTTCAGTGGGGGAAGAAAACAGCCTTTTTGGCAAACCATTCTGGGAAAACAGGACATCAATTTGCAGAAGAATAAAGTTGGACCTTTTGTCTCACACCATATACAAACCACAAAGACCTAAATGTACAACCTAAAACTGTAAAACTCTAAAAAATATTAATAATAAGACAAAGCTACAACATTCGATTTGGCAATATTTTCTTGGATATGACAACAGAAGCACGGGCAAAAGACAACGTCAACAGAGTAAACAGGCAACTTACTAGATAGGAGAAAATAGTTGCAAGTTGTATATGTGATCAGGAATTAGTGTCCTTAATATGTAGAAAACTCCCAAAACTCTACAATAAAATAACAAGCTGATTAAAAAACAGACACATGACTTGAATAGACATTTCTCTAGATAAGTATTTAAATGGCCAATAAACATATGAAAAAATGCTTGACATCACCATTCGTTAGGCAAATGCATATCTAAACTACAATGAGGCTGGGGTGCGATGGCTCACACCTGTAATTCCGGCACTTCGAGAGGCTGTGGGATTGCCTAAGCCCAGTTCAAGACCACCCTGCGCAACATAGTTAGACTCCCCCCTTCCAAATATCTAAAAAAAAAAAAATTAAAAATTAGCCAGGCATGGTGGTGTAGTATGCCTGTATTTCCAGCTACACAGGAGCTTGAGGTAGGAGGATCACTTGAGCCCAGGAGGTCAAGTTTACAGTAAGCTATGATTGTACCACTGTACTCCAGCATGGGCAACAGAGTGAGACCCTGTCTCAAAAACAAAAAACAAACAAAACTGCAATGATATACCACCTGACACCATTAGGTTGGTTACTACATTAATTAAACAAACAAATAAACACACAAAAAAACCCAGAAAATAACAATTGTTAGCAAGTATGTGGAGAAACTGAAACCCTTCTGCACCATTGCTGGGAATGTGAAATGTTACATCCATGATGGAAAACAGTATGGTGGTTAATCAAAAAATTAAAAATAGAGGCCGGGCGCGGTGGCTCAAGCCTGTAATCCCAGCACTTTGGGAGGCCGAGGCGGGTGGATCACGAGGTCAAGAGATCGAGACCATCCTGGCCAACATAGCGAAACCCCATCTCTACTAAAACTACAAAAAATCAGCTGGGCCTGGTGGCGCGTGCCTGTAATCCCAGCTACTCAGGAGGCTGAGGCAGGAGAATTGCCTGAACCCAGGAGGCGGAGGTTGCGGTGAGCCGAGATCGCGCCATTGCACTCCAGCCTGGGTAACAAGAGCAAAACTCCATCTCAAAAAAAAAAAAAAAAAAAAAAATTAAAAATAGAATTACCCAGCAACTGAATTTCTGCACATATACCCTAAAGAATTGAAAGCAAAATCTCAAAGAGGTATTTGTACACACATGTTCATAGCAGCATTATTCACAGTAGCTAAAACATGGACGCAACCTGTATTAGTCCATTTTCATGCTGCTAACAAAGACATGCAAGACTGGGTAATTTATAAGGAAAAAGAGGTTTAATGGACTCACAGTTCCACATGGCTGGGGAGACCTCATCATCATGGTGGAAAGGCACATCTAACATGACAGTAGACAAGAGAAGAGTGCTTGTCCAGGGAAACTCCCCTTTATAAAACCATCAGAGCTTGTGAGATTTATTCACCATCATGAGAATAGCATGGGAAAGACCTGCCCCCATGATTCAATTACTTCTCACCGGGTTCCTCCCACAACATGTGGGAATTGTGGGAGCCACAATTCAAAATGAGATTTGGGTGGGGACACAGCCAAACCTTATCACAACCCAAGTGCTTATTGATGGATAAATGAATAAGCAGAATGTGATATAAACAATGGGATACTATTTAGCCTAAAAAAGGGAGGAGATTCTGACACAGGCTGCAACATGGATGAACCTTAAGGACACTGTGCCAAATGAAATAAGCCAGTTGCCAAAAATACAACTACTACATAATTCCACTTATATTAGGTAGTTAGAGTAGTCAAAATTATAGAAACAGAAAGTATAATGGTGGGTACCAGGGCTAGGGGAAGGGAAATGAGGAATTATTGTTTAATGGAGACAGAGTTTCAGTTTTAAAAGACAGAAAGAGTTCTACATGGATGGTGGTGATGGTTGCACATCATGAGTGTATTTAACACCACCAAACTATATATTTAAAATGATTGTTTGTAATTTGAAGTTATATGCATTTCACCACAATTTTAAAAAGTTGACAAAAAGACAGAAGTGAGGGGAGTAATTGTACTGGGGAGAAGGAGGAGGGCAGTTACTGGTGGGGGCTTTGGAGGACTTTTTGACACAGTGTTCTACTTCTCAAACCAAGTGGTAATTACACAAATATTGCTTTGTTTAAAAAAAAAAATGACCGTGGCTTTCTTCTTCCTAGAAGCCTGTGTGTTGCCCTCTTGTCTGGCATGCTTTGTTGATAGGAGCTGCCCCATGGGAGAGCCAGGAGCTGAGGGTGCCTCTGCCCAACAGCCCATGAAGCATAAGCGCAGATGCAGACTTCCCCAGGCAAGCCTTCAGATGAGACCACAGATGCTGTGCCAATGTCCTGATTGCAGTCTGATGAGAAGCCAATATGCAGAGGACTCAACTAAGCCACACCTGGATTTCTGACTCATGGAAATGGTGAAATACTGAATGTTTTTTAAGCTGCCAAGTTTTGGGGAATTTTGTTATGCCCCAGTAGATAACAAATAATACTATGTATAGAATCCTATGTTACTAATTTTATCTTGTGACTTTGAAAAAATAGATATTTGACTATTGCTTGACTTTTATCATTGTAATTGATAAGGCTGCTTTCATGATAACTGCTTTTGACGTAATCTGAGTGGTTTTCTTTTTCACTTTAACATTTCTTTTGTATTCTGTAGCTTTACTCCTAAATGTAGGAGTGTAGTTTCGTTTTTTGTCCCCAGCTCAAGTCTCACAGTGTTCCCGAATCTTAGGATTCACATTTTTCATCAAGTATAGAACTTTCTTAGTCATTATCTTTATAAATACTGCTGCTTCCTCATTCTTCTACTAATCATTCAGAATGGAACACTCATAGATGTTTGGGATCTCCTCATTCTGTCATCATGCTCTGCCTCACAGCAGAAGTAACTTCTGCATATATCACAAATTCAGTTTTCAGCTAGGCCTAAATTGCTTTTTAACTCGTCCATTGAGTTAATTTTAGCAAGTACAGTTTTGGGTTCTAGATATTCCCTTTAGCTCTTCAAAACTGCCTATTCTCCCCCCACTCCCTTGGAATCAAATTCTTGTTCATTTACTTCTTTTATTCCTGTAATTCTTAACCATGTAAACATGTTTAATTAATGTTCTCTTATTTGCTCAATTTACCTTCTGAAGGCCTTTGGTGGAGGAGTCCATTCCTCCTGTTCACACATCTGCTGACTTCCCTCCAAGTGGTTCTTTCTTTGCATGTTTTGTACTTTATGATTGTAAACTCATCTTCAGTGGGCTTTACGGGTAGGAATTGGAAGGGGCTAGATTGAGAATGTCTATGTGATTTTACTTCTATTACTGTGCCTGCTTCTGTCATGGGCTTTAAAGGTATTACTGGCCTGAGCTCAGGTTTTATATCAAGTTATTTGCTGCAGGGGTGGTAGGGCCTGGACTGTGCAACCTGTGAAAATTCAATACCTAGGCTGCGCATGGTAGCTCATGCCTGTAATCCCAGCACGTTGGGAAGCCAAGGCAGGAGAATCGCTTGAGCCCAGGAGTTCAAGACCAGCCTGGGCAACACAGCTAGACCTTGCCTCAAAAAAGAAAAATTCAGGCTGGGTGCAGTGGCTCATGCCTGTAATCCTACCACTCTGGGAGGCTAAGGCAGGCAGATCAAGAGATTGAGACCATCCTGCACAACATGGTGAAACCCGGTCTCTACTAAAAATACTAAAATTAGCTCAGTGTGGTGGTGTGTGCCTGTAGTTCCAGCTATTTGGGGAGGCTGAGATGGGAGAATTGCTTGAACCTGGGAGACAGAGGTTGCAGTGAGCCAAGCTCATGCCACTGCACTCCAGCCTGGCAACAGAGCTAGACTCCACCTAAAAAAAAAAAAAAAAAAGAAAAAAGAAAAAATCAATACCTGATGCCTAAAGAGGCTGTGAACCCTGATTATCAATTGTCAACAGAACTTTCTGTCTCACAGAACCACAACAGGCAAGCCAACATGGAACCATTGTATTGTCTTCCTGTTCCTGTGGGCACACAGCTACTCATTCACATCTCTCCTGAGGGTGTAGCCCTTTGAGTGCCTTTGTTCCAGTTCCTGCTTCATGTGGGTCCACGGAGGCCTCATCTCCTTTCCCATGTGAGTGTGGAGAGTTAGACCCTGAGGCTCCAGACCAACACTCTGCTGGGCAGCTGCCCTCGGGCTCTCACACTTCAAGACCTGGTTTTCAGTCTTTTGTTTGTCTCTGGCTCCTGTCACGTCCCTGACCTCCTTGTGAGCTCAGCTCTGCATTAAAAGTTTGCTGTTTCTATCTTGTGTTCACAAGCTCTGTCCTGGGAGGCTTTTGGGGTCACACCATCACAGGGAACGACAGAAGTGGAAATCTGCTTTTGCACGATTTCTAAGATGAATTTCTAGGCTTGTTTTCAGAGCATGTGCCATGCCCTCTGCTCTGGCCTGAATGACTGTCCCCTCCAACGTTCATGTTGAAGTTTGATTGCCATTGTGACGATATTAATAGGTGGGACCTTCGAGAGGTGATTAGGCCATGAGGCCTCTGCCCTCCTCAATGGGCTGGTGGGCTTGTTATAAAAGGAGGGTTCAGCCCCCTTCTCTTTCTCTCTCTTGCTCAATCATCCTTCCTCTTTGCCCTTCTGCTATTCTGCGATGTGACGTCGCAACAAGAAGGCCCTGACCCTTGACGCTGGACCTCCCAGCCTCCAGAGCCACGAGCCAGCAAGTTTCTCCACACTCTAAGTTATCCAGTCTGTAGGAGTCTGTTACAGCAGCACAGAATGGATGAAGACATCCTCTGTATCATTTTGCAATCCCACGAGACAGGCGTTCTTTTGCACTCATCGCATCACTGACGAAACTGGGCCCTGGAGGGCTTAAGTAACAAGGCAGGTCTGTCGGCTTCTGGAAGGCCTGTCCTGCTGCGGCAGTTCTCAGCTCCCCTGGGCCTCATGGCGCTTCACAGCTCGCAATCATCCTGCAGGGCAGATGTTATTTCTCTTCCCATCTCGTGGCTGAAAACCAAGCCTTGTGGCAGTTAAACAAGTTATGTGGCAGTTTTCAGCCATTGTACTAAAAAATATTTTAGGTAGAAAATGTGGTGGGTGTACGCAATGGTACACCAGTCAGCCTTAAAAAGGAAGACAATTCTGCCACGAATGACAATATGGATGGACCAGAAGGGCGTTAAGTGAAAAAAACAGGCACAGAAAGACAAATACTGCATGATCTCACTTACAGGTGGGATCTACAAAAGTCGACTCACAGAAGCAGAGGGTGGAATGGTGGTTACCTGGGGCTGGGTGGTGATGTAGGTCAAGGGATACATTTCAGCTCCATGGAGGAGTATGACCAAGGGATCTATAGTAGGACATGGTGACTATACTTAATAACAACGTATCTTGTGCTTGGTAATTGCTAAGAGAGTAGATTTTAAGTGTTCTCACCACCCCAAAAAACAAGTATGTGAGTTAATGCATGCTAATTAACTTGATTTAGCCAGTCCACAATGTATACATATTTTAAAACAAGTTGTAAACAACAAATATATACAATTATTATTTGCCAATTAAAATAAATACATTTAAAAATATTGTAGGTATTTGTCCATTTTTGTTTCAAATTTACTTGTTCATCATTTTAGTATGAAAAATTTCTTTTTTTTTTTTTTTTGGCTGGGTGCAATGGCTCACACCTGTAATCCCAGCACTTTGGGGGGCCAAGGTGGGTGAATCACCTGAGGTGAAGAGTTCAAGACCAGCCTGGCCAAGATGGTGAAACCCTGTCTCTACTAAAAATACAAAAAATTAGGGGGGTGTGGTGACAGGCACCTGCAATCCTAGCTACTTGGGAGGCTGAGACAGGAGCATCACTTGAACCCAGGAGGTGGAGGTTGCAGTGAGCTGAGATGACACCATTGTACTCCAGCCTGGGCAACAAGAGCGAAACTCCATCTTAAAAAATAAAAATGGCTGTTTTTTTTTTTCTGTGTGTATGTGACTGACAACCCAGTGGTTTCCTTTAGTACCTTATCAACATTTCCAGGCACTTTCTGTATTTGAGGTATGTGAAGTGATAGGGTGGCCCTTGTCTTGAGCATGACACTGAACATACAGGCCAATAAACTGGAGGCCTTTGGCTACACACCAGACGCTCTGGGTACTGAGGAGCTCGCCCCCCACTCTGTGCCAGGAAACGGAACGGTAGCCTGGGTGAGTTGGCAGAAGAGGAGGAACCAGACGCAGTGAACTTCCTGGTTTGTCCCGGTGTCAAGCAACTTGGGGAGTTTTTCTTTCACACGTGCCTGGAACAGAGGAGACTCACATAAATAGCTGTGTTGAATAAATAGAGTCCATTGACATTGAGTCACATGAAGCAGCATTCATCCATCTAAAACGCCAATGCTTCTTTAGGGTGGACTGAGTTTTCCCCCATGGACTGAGTTTTCCCCCAATACTAGGTTGTCCCATGTGATGGGCAAAAAGACTCCATGTGGAAACTGAGGCTGGCTGGGGGAACCCAGGCCTCTGGCATCCCCACCAAGGTGACTCTCCAGCAGCTCCCAAGACAGCCCATCATGTAGGGCAAACGCCAGGAGCCCCTCCTGTGTGCAGGTACACGGCAGGCTCAACCACAGGAGGCTAGGGGACAGGCACATGCTCGGCCAAACCCTGGAGGGCGGTGGGCATCTGTTCATCACAGGGGAGGACTGGAGGCGGGAGAGGCAGGCGGGCCTGCGGGGGTTGGGATGAGCTGTGCACATGGCTTGGCACACCCAAAGCTGAGGTTTCTCCTCAGGCAACACAGTCACATTTGGGTGTAGGAATCTCGGCTGGAGTTGCCCAACGTGGGGACCAGACAGCGCTGCAGCTGAAACCAAAGCTGGAGAACACAGAAGTTCTTGGAACAAGCCAGGACAGTGGGACGGGGTTGGGGCCAAGCAGACATGATAACGACGCACTAACGAGTTGTGCGGGGGGGGGGGGGGGGGCCTGGGGGAGACGCTGGATTCCTAGCTGGCCTGCATTGCTCTCTGGTTCTTAGCTGCCTGCGGAATTCCGGGGTGCTCTGCTCCAGCTACTTACGATGTATAAGTGTGCAGGAAGTGGATGCTGGAGAGGAACTGCTCTTCTGGACTGAGCTTGCTGCTCATGGCAGCCCCACCTACAGGGCCCAAAGCCTTATTGATGTTCCTTGCACCTTCTACCACGTGGTTGCCTCTTGAGCTCTGTAAGTCCACCGCGGAGCCAGGAATTTCTCCCCAGAAGCCTATTTTGTCCACCACCTCCCAGTAAATCACAACCTGACTCGCTGCAAAGGATAGAGTGTCTGGGACCCCCCTGTCCCCAGCTCCCCTGGGGGCAGGGGTTGGCACATTCCTGCGCCCGGCCACCTGCTGCCTCCTCCTGTGTGGGTAACCCCCCCATATAGGCACCGAGGAATGAGAGCTAAGCAGAACCCTGGCACAGTTATGGCTTGAGGAATATCTCACTTTATAGTGTTACTACTCAGCTATTTCCTTTTATATAACCTTTTACATAATCATATATTAGTTTATAGAAATAGGGCTTGAAGAATCCCTTTATATAATCCTCTATATATAGTGATATAATAGTTGATAGTATGAGTGCCTAAAATATTTCCCTATATATATACCTATGATTATATCTTAGTTCATAATCGGAGGAATGCCTAGAGTGGACACAGTGCAGAGCATGACCTCGCTCCAGTTCTTGTGGAAGTCCGCCCTCAGAACGGCAATCCACCTTGGTGACTGTGAACTCTATCAGCTCTTGCTGCTGTGCTGCTCAAAAAGCATCTTCCCATAGAACCCATTGGAAGCTGCCAGAAGGTGGCGGTAACCTTGACAGCTCTGTCACTGCTATGTGACTTAAAGCATCCTCCCATAAATCTTCTTAGAAGTAGTTTTCCCATAGATAGAAGTATCGCACACCGCCCACCTTCAAGCCTCGGTGACCTAATGGGGGTGGACCCCTCACTGCACACGGCTCTTGCCTTCATGGGAACGGGCCCCTTGCTGTGCACTGTCCACCACCTGGCCTAGGTGACCTAATGGGGGTGGATCCTATGTTTTATTGCTCACGACCCTATCACTATCTTTAAAGATAATTTCACTCACTGCCCTGCCCCCTAACCTATGCACAATAAATACTCATGCTTCTGCACATTTGGGGCCTCTCCTGACTCCGCTTATAGGTGGCGTGGACCCCCGAGCCCAGCTGCGTTTTTCTTGTACTTCTGTGTCCTCCTGTCTCTTTATTTCTCGGATCCTGTGCACAGCATAAGGCTCACCCGACGACCCTGTGGGGCACTCAGCCCTACATCTAGCTTCCAAAGTGCCCTACACTCCTGGGCTGCCGGTCCATGCCCAGCGGACAGGAAAGCCCAGCGAGGTCCTACCAACCACACTGTCCCCTCCCGGCAGCCTCACCTGGGTCCCTCCAGCTGCAGCCCCTTGTCCCCTGCACCCATGCCTAGCCTTGGAAGTTGCTGCTCACTTTTCTGGAATATTCTTTTCTTAGATCTCTGCAGGACTGCCCCTACCCCTACAAGGGCTCCACACATGTTCCCTCCTTCATGACTCCCACTGGGCTTCCCCGGCAGAGCCCCCCCCTCCTCCAAAGCTCTGGTGCCACCTGCCAGGCTTCCTCCAGGCCACAGCTCCGCAGCCCGCCTCTGAGAGAGAACAGAAGTGGCCCGCAGGGCAGGCCTGGCTGAGGGCCCCAGCGCTGCCAGCGGGGTCTGAGGTCCTCCCAACCCTCGAAGGGGAAACTTGAGCTTCTCAGGCCAGCCCAGGACGTGTTTTCAGGAACCGCAGCAGGCGCTTCTGGCGGAGAGGAGTCTGCCTCATTCAGGATCCGTAGCGTTGTATCTGAAATTATGCAACTACCCAAACCCTTCAGAGTGCTGAGCAGCCCCGCGCAGAGCCCTCCCCACGGGGCGGAGGGAAGTCCACTCGGGCGTGAGGACTATCCCCGGGCCCCTTGGAGAGTCTGCAGAGGCAGCCCCGGGGGAGCAGGCCCGGGCGGGGGTCTCCTGCAGCGGGCAGGGCTTTGGTATTAATCCCTAACGGGAAAGAGGAGCTGAGCTGCCGGCACGTTGGTTGGCTACACACCCCACTCTTGTTAAAGAAAAACGGGGTCGGGGAGCGGGTTCTCCAGCCCTGTGCCTCCCGGGCCTGGCAGGACGCGGCCCCTCCCGGAGTCGGGGCCCCCAGGCGGGGGAGGCACCGGGGCGAGCGCGCTTCTCCCCCCGGGCCCCGAGTGCGGCCGGCTCTGGACGGTAAATTCAGGGCCCGGGTGGAGGCGACGGGGTCCCGCGGCCTCGGTGACCCCGGACAGCAGCGGAAAGAGCGGGACCGCAAGGACAGGCTGCCCGGGAGCGCACGGCGAGGCGCGAACGCGGGAGGCGGCCGCGGCGCGGGGCAGCGCCATTTACGTTCGGGCCGCGCAGGGCGCTGACGTGGGCGGCCCTGCCTCGGCTTCCGGGCCCGGCAGGGGCCTCGGGGCGGACGGCGCGCCCGCCTGCGGCGGTGAGTCCCGCCCGACGCTGCCCGTCTTCCTCGGGGACGGGCGGCTTAGAACGAACGGAACTCCGCGCCCCGGGGCTCCGCCAGGCTACAACCCGACCGGCTTCCCGCCGGGCTCCCGCCCCGCCCAGTCCCGCGGCCGCGCCCCGGCCGGGCGGGCCCTGAGCCGCCCGCGTGAGTCCGCCCGCCGCCCGCGCCGGGAACCAGGAGACCAACCGCGAGGCCCCGCCCGCGCGCGCCGCCGTGTCCCCGCCCGCGCGGTCGTCCGAGCGCGGCTCAGCGGCGCGGCGGAGACTCGGCACGGCGGCGGCCAGGCGCAGGCGGGCGGGCAGAGCAGCGGACGGCGCCGAGGCCGCCCCAAGCGCCGGGCTCGCGGCGGCGGAGCGCGCCGGAGTGGTCGGGGCCCGCGGCCGCCCGCGCCTCTCGATGGGCAGCTCGCACTTGCTCAACAAGGGCCTGCCGCTGGGTAAGGCCGCGCGCGCGCGCGTTTCCGGCCGCGGGCGGGGGCGGGGCGGGGCGGAGGCCGCGCGGGCGGGGGGCGGGGGGCGCGGGGGCGGGTTGTGCGCGCGCCCGCAGACCGCCGGCTTTGTGTGCGAGTGCGCGTGCGCGTCAGCGCCCGCGCGTAGCCGCGACCCGGGGCGGGACCGCGGGTGGGGTGGTGCGCATGCGCGGATTGCAGCGTGCCGGTGCGCGTGCGCGAGCGCCGTCGTCCGCCCGCCCCGCCCGCGGCCCGCGCAGGTGACACAAAGGGGCCTGCGGGCCTCTTGGCTGCCCCGCCGGATCCCCGGCTCCACTGGCCCCAGCCCCACGGGTCCCGGGACGGCCCCCTAAGTCCCGATCCCCGGCCGCGACCCAGTCCCCGGTCGTGACCCCGCGGCTGGGCCTGCGGGGCCGAGGTGTGGGGTGCGCCCTGCGCAGCTCGGGACGTCCTGGGGCGCGCGCTCCCGGGGCCACTCGCGGGAGCGCGCCCCGCCCGCCCGGGGGCTGGCGCGCTGTGGGGGAAGGGGACGGGGCCCGGCACCGGGTCTGACCGCGGAGGAGGCCGCCGCCCTCAGACGGTGCCCAAAGCGCAGTCCCCGGCGGTGACGCGGGAGGGCCCGGGGGTCTCCGTCCCCGCGAAGTCCCCGACCGGCCCGGCGCCCTCGCCTCCTCGGGCCTGGTGCCGCCCTGGTCCTGGGGCGCCTTCCCCGCGGGCTGCGGAAGCAGCGAGCTTGGGCCGGCGCCGGGCCCGTGGGCATCGCCATCTTGCAGTGCCCGCGTTTTGGGCCGTCCCGGGCCGTTCCGCGGAGCCTCTGTCCCCACCTTCGACTCGGCTGCAAAGGCAGAGCCAGTGCGCCTGAGCCCCGGGCCGAGGCTGGAGCGTTCTCTGCCCGGGAGCGGCCTCCAAGGGCGCCGGTGTCTAGAAGCCGGGCCGGGGCCAGAGTCCCTTCTAGTGGGGAAAAGGAAGGGCGGTCTCGCTGTTCCCGGTGCTCCGAGTTGGGAGGTGAAACCCTGAGAGCCGGGGTTACAGGGCCGGGAGTCTGGCCGAGGCGGCGGGTGCGCAGGGTGCTCCGTGGAGCTCCGTGGAGCCCGAACCCCCCGAGTCCTCTCCACCGTGTGTGAAGGAGCTCGGCAAGGAGTGCACGTTCCTCAGGGAAAAAAAGGCGCTGGCGGCTGGGCCTCACCACGGCTGTCCCCCTGAGCTAGCGCAGTGACCTCGGCCGTCCCGGCCTTTCCCGGCCAGCGGGTGGCCTCTGCGCGGCTGCGTCTCCAGCTGTGACTTGGGGCAGTGTTGGGGCAGCACCGTGGGAGCTGAGGATGACAGCTGCGGTTTGTGGGACCCCTTTCTCTGTCCTGGAACTTTGTTGGGCGTGGCTCTGCCCTGGGCCTCAGCACCAGGCCTCCCGGGTCTCCCCTGCTGGCCCAGGCTTGGCCATCTCTTTTTGGGATCTGGGCTTGGCTCCTGGTTGGTGCTGTCGGCTCCGGAGACGCCTTTTGCTCTGTGTGGTTCTGTCACCCATCTTTGAGCACCTGCTTCTGTCTGTGAGTCGTCTGCAGAGCTCTGGAAGGGACATGCACTGGGGGCCACATCTGGTCACTCCTGATGGTGCCTCGTCTGCCTGCCCGGCCATTTTTGGGGTGTCTGCCATGTCCCTAACGTGCACTTCATCCTGTCAACTTTGACGAGGACAGTGATTAGTTCTGAGAGGTGGACGTATGGTTGGGGATGTCAGTAAGTGGGATCTTCCCTTCTACACATTTGTCATTAACCTGAGGATACGGCAGTGGGGGAGAGGAGGCTTGGCCCGGGGCTGGTCCTGTCCCTCTGCTGAGTGGGCTGAGCCTGGGCCCAGTCCGGTGGGCTTGAGCCGCCCCCGCCAGGCTGGCCCTGCCCACCTCCCCCAGGGTCAGGAGCCACCACTCTTTGGACATGTGTAGTGTAAGGTTCGGTTATCCAGCAGACAGCCACTACTCACAGCCACTCTGCGAGTAAATCTTTGCTGGGGAACCCTGGGCAGAAGCAGCGCCGCTGTCCAGGAAACAGGCTCAGGCTGGAGAAGCCCTCTCACTTCCTTGGGGCTCAGAGGTGGCGTCCAGCCACACCGGGCTCCCCACCAGCCTGGAAGTTTTTCTGGTTTTTCTCCCCTGACTGTCGCTTGCCTTTTCAACTTCCTGTGGCCAGCACTCCCAGAGTGTGACCTGGCCTGAGCTGACAGTGCCATCCCAGAGCCAAGAGGTGTGCGGCTGGCACCACGAGTCTTGCTGAGAAGGCTTCCTGCAGTGCTCTGTGCCCAGCTGTGCCCTGGCATTCCCCATGCAGTGCCCAGGTCAGAGCGTGTGCCCTGTGAGGTGTTTACCTCGGGTGACTCTCCTTCCAGAAGAACTTGTTTTCCACTCCACTCGGGGCTGGAGAGGGCTCCGTGCAGGTGGTGCTGATGGGGTGCTGATGAGGCCTGGCTCAGGGCCCGGGGTGGCCAGGAGGTGGTGGAGGCTGCAGGGGTTGCTGTATGGGTTCTGTGGTTGAACTGCGTCGCCCGAGGGAACACTGATCAGCGCCTGGTCAGAGCGCCGGGGTCCTCTGGTGGGCAAAAACTCTGTGCTGGGAGCATCTGGTCCCCCGGGTCCTCCATTGTCTGCTGCAGTGGCCAGAGCCCACTGCTGCTCCCCCCCCCCACTGGGTTGGGGTAACCTACAAGGTGCCACCTGTGTTACTTGACTGTCTCTTACAGCAGTCTTTCCAACCACACACTTAATGTGGTATCTTCCATGAGGAAATGTTTGTTTTTTTCTGTGAATCCGGAAATCTCTTAGATGGTTCTTTGTCAAGCCATACACTGACTTTGAGTTGTCCCTCTGGGTGGCCCCAGGCGGTGCCAGCTTGTGTGTGTTGAAGGAGAGTGAGGATGGTCCGCGGGAAGCCCAGTAGGTCCAGGGTTGGTTTGGATGGGGAGGCATTGGGGCTGTGGCCCTGAGAGGCGTGGGTGGTGGTGGGACCAGGCCCCTTCCTCACCCTCCCCTGGCACCGCCATCAACTCCCCAGGCCTGATGGGGCCCGTGCTGCCCTGGCCTGCTGCCCCTCTGTGGTGTGCGGGCTGCTAGGCTGCCCTGTCTGCCTGGCTGGCATGAGGCTGAGGCATCCGAGACTGCCTCTCAAGCAGTATCGTGTGTAGAATGTCCTGTTGGGAGGGCCAGGAAGGGGGTAGCCCAGCTACCCCACACGTGGTAGGAGCTGGGAAGGTGGCGTTCTGGGGGATCCTGGAGCTCACAAGGCGTCTGCATGTGCTCGCTGAACAAACGTGGGAACGTGTGAATCCACGAAGTCCTGGAGAGGAGTCTTGGTGGCAAACCCGTGCCTTTGATTACAGCTCCTACTCTGTGTTCTCTGAGCTGCAGCGTGGCCCCACAGGCCCTGTGGAGCGCCGTGGCTCCCTGGCTCACAGGGTGCTGTCGTCGGAGGTGCCGCGTCGGCCCATGGGTGGCCGGCGGTGTCTGTCTGAGGGAAGTTCTGGTGGCCCCATGCTGCTGTGGGGCTTCCTCTTGGGGGACTGGCCTTCTCTGTTATTACAGGCAGGGACTCAGTTCCCTTGGGGCATCAGGTGGCTGCATCTCGGGGCTGGAGGGCTCTGGGTCAGGCTGTGCGCAGCCTTCATCACTGTCAGCCCCTGTCTGGGCAGCTCAGCCTGGACAGCCAAAGGAGGCGTCTCACCAATGCCCAGGTGGCTGTGCCAGGGGACTCATGGCAGGACAGCTTTGTCACGAGAAGGCCCCTGGGGGCAGTGCCGGACTTTTACCCAGAGTCATCAGGGCTTATGGGGAGAAGGCAGGGTAAGGGCTGGTGAGACTGCCAGCCCAAGGGTGCCCTTCCGGAGGTTGGGGAACGCCTTCCTGGGCAGCAGCTTTAGTGGCTGCTGTGGGGAGGGGGAAGAAGATGGGGTTGGTGAGGAAGGGCCTTCGGGACTCGTATTCTGGTAGAGGCCGTGGGGGACGGCAGGGGACTGGCCCTGGGGACTTGGCCCAGCAGGGCTGACCTGTGGAGGGACTTGGAGGGTCGGTGGCTGCCGAGGCTGTGTCCGAGCAGGCCGGGATGGGGCCAGGCACTGAGGCTGGGGAAGGAACAGTGCTGTCGTGGTGCGTTTGGACAGCTGAGTCTGACATCTCATCAGAGCTCTAGGAGGAGATAGGAACCAGCAGAGGACTCCCAACCCCCAAGTCCTACCTGAGGGGACTGGCGCAGCCTGGGCTGGAGATGACCCCAAGCAGCTGCTTGGTTCTGGCACATCTTGGAGTCTCCTGGGACTTCCTGCAAACCCAAAGCCCAGAGACCTTCTGTGGCTTTCTGGGGGGGGGGGGGACAGGTCCCAGCCTCTGGTGACCCCCGGAGTGCAAGGGGCTACCCTGGTCTCTCTCCAGAGTGGACCGATGCCCAGCACACACGTGAGTTAGGGCCGAGTGGGCAGGTGTGGCCAACAGGAGGGAGGATCCGGCAGGCAGCTGGTGATGCGTCCAGAGATGGCTTTGGCACATGGTCTGGAGGCCCTGGGGTCATCCTCTCCAGAGGCATCAAGTCCCACTGTGCAGCCTCCTGGGACTTGATGCCTCCGGAGACCCTGGGGGCTGTTGCCCCTCACGTCAACCTCGTCTTCTTTAAAAGAAATTTTTATGTTAGAATAGCCTGAAATTTGCAGGAAAGTGAGAAAGCTAGCACAAGCTTCGGGTGCGCCCCACACTCAGTTTCCCCTGTGGGTCTGTTGAGGGCTTTCTTACAATGTGAGGTTAAGTCGAAGGAGGCCCCAGCATCTGCAGGATGCGAACCTGGAGACTGTCCTCGTGTTGTGGAGCTGAGAGCCATGTGTGGCCGTGAATTTTTAATAAGGAAAAGCAGTGTGGGTCCTGGGTTTGGATGGTGCAGGCCCCTCTGGGAGCTGTGTGCCTTCATCTCGGAGCGTGTGACGGAGATATAGACCTGGAGCCCTTGACTCCCAAATGGCCAGCTAGGAGGGCTGTTGGGAGGCCAGCTCCCTGGCATGAGGTACCCAGGGCCTCCCGACATCGCACCTGGTGGGAGCTCCGGGACTCGGACGCTGGGTGTCAGTGCGGGAGGTTCGGCCTGGCAGGGGGCTGCTTTGTGGGTGCACCGTGGTCCCAGGGTAGGGCAGAGGGTGGGCAGACCTCCCCCAAAGTTAAGGACAGTCTCACCCCAGGGCTGTTTCAAGACAGAGGCCCCTGGAGGAAAACCAGGTCCTGTCCCTCAGGTGTCTGTCCTGAACCGGGGCAGCCTTGGAACAAGGAGCCGCAGGAGGTCCCTGTGGCACAGGGTGCAGCCCCTCAGCACTGGCAGGGCCAGCCCGGGGAGCAGAGGGCCACAGGAGCCCTGTCACAGGTCCCTTAGTTTGGGAGCCCATGCCTCCTCACTGCAGGGTCCTTCAGGAGGGCCAAGGTGGCCTTCCCATATCTGCTTCCTCCTTGGAGCCACAGGTGTGGGCAAGTACTGGGCGGTTCTGACAAGCACTGAGTAGCATTGAGGGGTACCTAGGAGCCTCCAGGAGCAGCAGCTGGCGCCGTGTTACCATGGGCAGTATTGATGAGTATTGGCCGGTCTCGAGGAGTAGCAGCCGGTACCGGGCCGCCATGGGCAGTATTGATGAGTGTCTGCCGGTATTGATGCGTTTGGCTGGGCATGGATGGCGCGGCGCCTTGTCCCCTGGCCAGGCTGGCTTGTGGTGGAGGTGTGACATTGAGGCTGTTTTCTCCTGTCCTTTTAGTTTCTGTTTTTACGCAGGATCCAGGTGCAGTGGGTGGGGGCAGGGGTGGGGGGGTTGGAGGGGGGGGACCCCGCTGTCGAGGCCCAGCACAGGTTGTCGGGGGCCCAGGCTCAGGCAGGGGGATCCCACTCCACCGTGTTGCTCTAGGGTCCTCCATAGGGGAGCCCCACGTAGCGCCTGCCATGAAGAGTGGCGTCAGGGACCCTGGATGGGAGGTGTGTTCGTGTGTGGGGCTGCGCCGCATGCATTGGTGTCTCTGGAGGCTGGAGACGGTCGGCATGTGTGCTTGAATCCTGCAGAGGGAAGTGAGGGGCGGAGACTCGTCTGTAAGGCGTCTCGCAGGGGCGGCCTCCCAGCGCACCCCCAGGGTCTTAGGCCGGGCTGAGCAGCACCTCTTGGCCTGGCAGGCAGTCGCCTCTGCCTGTGCCTGCACACTGCGGCTGGTGGCCGGCTTCTGGCCTGGTCCGCCAGACATCAGCTGCACCTTGGGGTCAGCCCCTGTGTGGTGTCTTCATGCCAGAGCAGGGGCCGGATGTGGGCGGCTCAGTGACACCCTCCCCAGGGCTGGGTGATATGGGCACTCCCAGCTCCCTGTACATCCCAGGGCTGCGTGCCTGGAAGGCTTGGCCCCTCAGGTGCCCCCCCGCCGCTGTGCATTTGGCCATCAAGGTCCGTGCCCTCAGCTTCCTGCCAGGCCCTGGCCTAGCAGTCAGGAAGAGCTGAGCAGTGCTTTCGGGACAATCAAGGGAGCGTCGCTGGGGTGCTCCGAGGGTCAGAGGTGGAGACGGCATGGCCCAGGGCAGGCAGTGGCAGGCTGGATGCTGAAAACCCGGCAGCACCTTTCCCGGTGGCTCCTGGGAATTGGCCACATGAGATAGAAGCTTCCAGAACAGTAGGCAGAGCCTTCCTCAGTTTCCCTGCCCACAGCACGCACCCTCTGTCCTGTCCTCCGTCCCCTGGTTCTTGGACACTGGGGACATCTGGGTGCAGCTAGAGCCTGTGGGGGTGGCCTTAGCCCTGGGGGGCGGTTCCCAAGAGGTGACATAGGGGCCACTGGAGCCCGGTCTCGGGCCTGGCACTGCCACCTCGGGGTGAGTGCCCCTCACATGTTTGGCGGGAGCCAGGGCCCCTGGCTGACAGCAGGCCCCTGAGTCCAGGTAGGTCCCAGCCAGCAGCCCTGGGTGTGGCAGCTGCAGCGAGGTCCACGTCTGTGGCGTTTCCTGGAGTCTGTGAGTTCTGGTCGGACCTTTGATGGCGTTTTAATGTGTCTCTTGTGTTTGATTTTTAGTAAGACTTTGACCCCGACGCAGGCTTCAGTGATTGCCGTGGATCAGAAGCCTGAGCGCTTTGGCTCGAGACAATTAAGGACGTGGGATGAGGCTCCGAGACAGGACGCGGTTCTGCCTGGGGATCCTGAAGATAAAAAGCTTTGAAAAGTCGAATTCATGGTCGTGGAAGCCGAGCCCATATTAAGAGATGTCAGGTTGGTAGGGGTTCCTGGCGTCTGCGGCAGAGCGAAGCTGGCCGGTCTCTCTGCGACCTTGTGGAGGAGGCACTGCCTCAGATGAAGTCCAGGGACCTGGGCTGTGTGGGCATTGGGCCCGATTGCTGCCACCCGGCCCCCAGTGCGCTCTGGGCGAGGACAGGCATCCTCTGGGAGGGTTTCCTGCATGCTTGGCGGCAGAGCACAGCTGTGGTCCGTCCTGTCCGTGGCGTCTGCTGTTTCTGCTGGAAAGTGTCTAAGGGGCACGGAGGGCATGCGGAGCCCACCAGAATGAGGACGGAGCCCCACATGGAACCCTGGAAGTCCCAGGTGTCCACCTGCCTTGCCCCAGAGCAGGGCTGTGGCCCCGGGGGAGCTGTTTCTAGTGGTTGGTCTGTGTTCTCTGGCCCAGAAGTGCGTGCAGCCGGAAAACAGCCCTGGGCCGAGGGGGTGCTGCAAAGCGTGCTCCAGCACGGGCCGTGTGACTGCGCGGCCTCCTGGGCATGTCCACAAGCCTGTGAGGGCGAGCAGTCTGGTGGGACCCTGGTACGGTGGGTGGGGGCAGCTGGTGGGTGATGCAAGGGGGCACCTCGGGTACCTGACTGGTGGGGCCTGGCGTCTCCACCTACCCCTCCTGGCTTCACTCACCCAGCACCCAGGAGTCCTCCCAGGCGGTTTGGACGCAGCCGCATGATCTGTTGTGGTTCCCACTGTTGCGTTCTCACCATGACACCAGCCCAAGTCCCCATGTTCACTGGCAGGGGTGGTTCAGACTTTGCACTGAGTTGGCCCGTGAGCTATGGGCCTGTGGGGTTCGCGTGTTCACACCTTCCTCATCACAAGTGAAGACCAAGAATGCTATGAGTAGACGTTTAAGCACTCACTCAGAACAGCAATGTAAACCACACCCAGCAGTAACCACCGCCACTTGTGGTAGGGAGCCAGACCATGCACTGTGTCACTGGGGGCTGTAGGAGGGGGACGTGTGGAGTCACTGGGGGGGCTGCAGGAGGCGGACGTGTGGAGCGTCACTGGAGGGCTGCAGGAGGGGGAC